AACGCATGAGTTAAGCGGCAAGCACTCAAAGTATTATTCCTATAATTTTAGGTATATATTTCCAAATCATAAAGAAATAGGCAGAAAAAAAATCTGAACTCAAACCATCACTTAAATTAAATTTCCTAAGACACTATAGTCTTAAAAATATTGTTCTCTATCACGTATATGATTAATTGATAAATACTATAAGATTTTTACATAATATTAATATATTTTAATTAATTAAAAATCGTTATTTTTAAAAGAGAAATTCTTTGTAAATTTCGTATGTCTAGTTTGAATAGGTTTCTTTTTGTAAATTTGGTAGTACATTTGACTTATTTTTAAAATATTAATATAACAGAAATCTTGACATAAATGTTGTTTATATTAGTCTTTATAACAAATCATAAATCAGTGGCACTATAAAGTTAAAAATTTTAAATACAAAATCGAGAATTTTCACACAAAAATAGCATTCGGTAACCATTTTCACAGTTGAGGCAACATAAAGTCCGAAATTGTTTTTCTCCATAATAAAGTATATTACATTAGCTTTAATTTAAGATATATATAAAAGTGTCAGTATTTCCGGAACATTCTCAAAAATTATGTTGAAAAAGTAAATTTTTTGTAAAAAAGTTGTCATATTGAATCCCCTACAGTATGCAGGTTTAGGGTCAGATTTATAAAAAAATATATGGTTCGATGTGTTCGGAATTATTAGATAATTGTTTAACTAAATCAATATTATTTTTAACTGAAAAACTATCGAATTTTTTGAAAGATGAAATACCCTTACTAGGTGTTTAGCCAAATTGTAAGTCGGAGCATTAATATTCGACACAATAGGTCTCATAGTACTTCCAGTTGATAGTTTTTCAGTTAAAAATAATATTGATTTAGTTAAACAATTATCTAATAATTCCGAACACATCGAACCACACCTGGCAACACAAATAGTCAGCTTTTAATAGTATGGTTTACAGATTAATTAATATTCCGATGAAGGAATATTTCGTCACAGCCTGCAGCTTTAAAACTGCCAAAGGCTTTTATTGCCCATCTTTTTCCACTTGGTGTTATCACTTTCCTGGTTAGTCTCCATTCAGCACAGATCACACGTTTGTCCTGTGCATCATGTTCCTGTTCTCTGTAGTTAATTGCAGAGTCAGGAAAATGTGTGTTCATCAAATATGATAATGTTTCATTATCGTTATTGGTGAACATTCCGTCTGGCAGTAGTATTGCCTCGACAGTTTTGTTTGGTCCATTCCTTAGTGATCGCAGAAGTCTAATTGCTATAAGGAGTTTTTGTATATCCCCACAGAACTTCTTCCAGCTTTCTCTTTTGAATTTTTTCAATGCAGAATTGTAGTTCCTTTGGGTATCCTTATAGGATTCCCAGTGTTGTTCCAAACCTGGTTTCATTGCTTTATTTAAGAGCTTACGTGAACTCTTTCTTAATTTAGACAGGTTAGCATTCCACCAAGCTACACCCTGCCCTGTACCTTTCCTTTCTATTAAAGGACAGTTTTCTTTGTAAGCCCAGACAATGAAGTCCTGTAGCATATTTACAGCCCTTTCAGTACTCTGTCTCGACCCCAATCTAAACTGTAGGTTATTCAGGTCACGAGAGAGATCTGCCCTGTATTTGTCCCAGTTTGTTCTTTTCGGGTTCCTATAGTACTCCGTCTCAACTTTGTTAATTTCCAAAGTGAATCGTAAGTGCCTATGATCAGAAAGAGAAGGTTCGGAGGACACTTTCCACCCTTTTATCTTTTGAAGTAACCCTTTTGAACAAACTGACAGATCAATGACTTCTTGCTTGTTCCTGATAACAAAAGTAGGTTCACTACCTCTGTTCAGTATACTTAGATCTGTAGTCAGCAATAGATCCATTATATCCTCTCCTCTTTGGTTGATGTTACTGCTCCCTCAAATAGTGTGGTGTGCATTAGCATACATACCTAGGATTAGTTCTAATTTTTCATTTTTGCAATAATTAAAGAGCACAGTTAGGTCCCACCTGGGTCTGTGACCTCATATGGTAAGTATCCTGAAGCTACTATAATATTTTTACCATCATTTAGTGTTACTCTTGAGAGGTGACGACTTGGGCCACGCAGCGGATTGTGGAGTCACCACTCTCATGGCTTCCTTGCAAAAAGAAAATAGGGTCGCCAACCACTTAGGCGAGGGTCTTGATCATAAAAAGAACAACACCCGGACCATAAGTGGATTTAAGAAAATAAACAATAATAAACTAATAATATTAAATAAAATAATGTACACTTTGATGANTAATAATATTAAATAAAATAATGTACACTTTGATGAAACTAAGTGGATTAAAAAAAAATTATATATATATATATGAAGAGTGAATGTGTCAAACGTTCTATGTGTCAAAAACATATTTGTTCAGAAAACACAAAAAACGATGGTAACATGGGCATGTCTCACATAACGAACACTATCTAT